CAAATCATATCGGACATAAGGCTACGATTTATTGGAAAAGCAACCAATTCGATGTTAGATGAGTGTTGGCCTGAAAGCGAGCTCTAGCATTATACACAAGGAAATGCATTGAAGGCACTTTATCCACTGCCAATACATCCTAATTTCAAGAAAAAATGGATAATCACTCATTGCGTTACTGGAATGCTCTTATATTATACAATATTTTAAACGACACAGCTGGCGATTTGTCACCAAAGGTGAAAGGAAGAAGAGATAGCTAATTCGGACCAAAAAGAGACTCTAGACTGGAAAAAATACTTGTATCATACACTATTTTCACTGCTACGGATCCATCCCATTGCGGACTATGGGGTAGATGAGAAGACCTGCTGTAAATTTTTTTGAAGGCAGCAGTTGAGTTACCCTTACACAATCATTGCGCTAAAATGCTAAAATTCTTGAAGAATGTGTTACATCTATAGATCCACTTGCCAGACATAATTTGCTTCTTTTCCGTTTCCTATTAATTTGCTTGATTATTACGAACGATATAGAAGCTACTACAATCATCGCATCTGCTAAGCTGGTTGATCCACTAAAAAAGTTATGAAAAGGCTAGAAGCGCCATTTTCATCTTAACATTGCATTCTGTGCAGTTCCTAGTAAAATGGGCTTCTTGCCCTTTTTCAAAGTAAGAAGCGCCTTGCATCTGTTCAACAATTATGTTCTCAATTTTGCATCTTCCTTGGAACTCCTAAACTTGTGGAATCGTGCATCATAGCCGGAGGTCGCAGTCTCGAGCAATCCTGGATTCTTTAAGAAGCAACTCTGAACATTGTACGAATACCTCATGTTTACAACTTACTATGTGTGGCAGGTACCAATCCAGGCGAAGGATCCCAGAAAATGTGTTGAACCTTTCACAAATTTATTTTAGTAGATGATGGGACTACTTCTCGTAACACTTTTAAAACAGAATAACATGATTCGAAATGACAAAAGTGTTAATGGTCGTAAGAATAAATCTGAAGATTGTGCCCAACCTTGTTGGAATGCTGCTATCATTAATCTCATCAACTGATATATTACCCTTCCAGAAAATTCGATATTCAAGATTTGCGGATACGGCTCCGTGTCTGTTTCGAACCTATTCAACTGTATATTAAGAGAGCAGTTTTTGAAACAATGTTAAATCAGGGTAGCATATGGCAGTTGCTAGCAATGACAAGACGACAACAATAAAAATAGTATTAAGAATATTGAAGGATACATATTGGACTGTTAAAAACTCTAATGGTTGCGGAAAGAAGGGCATAAGGGCCATTTCGCTAGGAACAGCAATATAAAATCCAATGTTAGAAATGGAAATTGAACTTTTCCTGTGACCTCTTTTTTTCATAGACCAGCTGAGGTCAGGAAATATAAAACGGATATAGTACCTACAATGTTGAAGTAAACTCATTTTTCTTAACACTTAAGGAAATTCTTCAAAAAGTTGAAGAAGTCAAAGAAGTAATCTGAACTGTTATTTTCAATGAAAATCATGGATTATATACCTATATATCCATACCCTCCCCTCCTCCCCCCATCCGCACATAACTCTAAAATTGGGGTGGATCTATAGCCGAAAA